AATTGAAATTGTGCACCTGTGACCTTGATGTGAGTTTTGTGAAGCACATCAGGCATCATGGAGTTTGAATTGTCTGCTTGGAACTTGCAAGTCTCGTGATGGTCTTGTGATGCATAATTTGTAAACCGCAATATACATCATGGAATTTGTACACCCCCAGTAAATAATTATCACACTGCTGGAGGGTATGGAAAATGGTATATAAGTTGGAAAAGGTTTGAATAAAATCGGCTCCAGTCCTGATCAGACTGTTCCCAGAAGAACTGCCTCCGAGTGGTCTTCTCGCTGTCCAGATTCTCTGGTGTGGGTCCTAACCCACCCTTGGTCAGTGCTGGTCACCGACAGATTTGAGAGGATTTTTGTTTAGAGTCTATGGTTAAAGGACAGTTTAATTAAAAGCAAACATCTTTTCATATATATATATACTTAAGCTTTATATATATATTTAAAAGGCATTTATGATTCTTTTTCTCTTTGGGTTGTGTTTTGGATCGAGTGTGGGGAGCCCACCCTGACCTCCCTGCCTCTTTCCTCTAGGGCCCCAGTCTGGGTGTTCCAGTACCAGCAGCTGAAGAGCGGCGGGTGCGAGGTAGGGTGTATGCGGTGCTGTCGTGGCCACTGAACGGGAGGACCTATCTGATCTGGGACCAGCAAGAATGAGGTCCCACGGGACCTGAGTCTCTGGTAAGGTGTGACCCACCACAACCCTCAACCTGGATGATGTCAAGAGGCAGGGTTGGGGCATGCCCTGGAGTATCTCCTCTTGTCCCGCCTCACCCCTTCAGAGAGAGGAGGTAGTCAGAGACTGGGTAGGCAGACAGAAAGAGAGGGTCTTGAGGAGTAGTAACATCTGTGTGAACACTTCTGCACCGCTCCTGTTATGTAACTAGCAATTGAACATGTGATTAATGTGGTTAAGAACATTCTCTAAGCCAGAATGTTTTGTTCAAAGGGACTTTTGGCATTTGGGCACAGACACAATAGCTCAACTAAATGTCCTAACTCTGCCTAAGCTTATTATAATACTATTAGCATGATATTTGCATTGCAGTTTTACCCCTCCGAGTAGGCTTTTTGGTGGTACTTTTGGGTAATAACCAAGATAGAGTAACTTTGGACAAGGGCACACATGCGCAGTAGAGGTTGGGACCAGGTAACATCTAGGAGGTGGAGAGGTGGGTAAGATGCAATGAGAAGAACACCCCCAGGAAGGAGAGAGAAAGACACAAAGCACTCCCCCACTGCCAGTAATCCATTTTCTACCCCCTCTCTTTCTCGAGAGCTTTCTGTTGCTTTAAATAAGCTCCTTCACTCATTCTTGAGCGGCTGCGCGCCTTAATTTTCTTGGTCATGAGACAGGAATTCGAGGATCTAAGCTGACAGCCCAGTTGAAAATTCTAGCAACAGTTCTTGGGGACATCACTGGGAGAGGAAAGTCTGTCCCCAACCATGTGCTGTACCACAGGCCCTATCCTTCCCGGACCTGGCTCTGCCTGGCAATAGCAGGTGACATTCCTGTGGGTTATTAGACAGGCCTGATAGGGGAGCTGTAACACAGCTCCTCCCCCACCTGCTGCTCTGAGTCCCTGCAGTTTCTCAGCCTGTCCTGCCCCCATGATGACTGTTTTAGTGAGGACCCAGACCCAGTCCATAGACAACCCCTGAGAACCCATGTCTCATATCCTGGGTGGCATCAGCAGCCACACGAAAGAGTCCAGGCACCCCATCTGAGACCACACAGTCCAGATGCCATCCTGGGCCCAGAACTACCTCCTTTTCAACAAGACTCCCTCCCATACCAGGACATCCCCAAGCCTGTACTTTGAAGTTTCGGCAACTCCCCTCAGGGAGCAGCAGGCTCCCATCCGCTAAACACTGGTGAAATGTAGGTGGACTGAACCCTCACTCAGGTTCGGCATTGTCTCCTCAGCACCTGAAGTGGCCCTAGTTCTTGGGTGATGAGCAGATGGAACCTGGGACACTTCATTCAGTCCACACTCCCCATAATTCAGGTTCTAAGTCGTTGCCCCTGGGGCTATGCTTCTAGTATATACATATTCCACACCAGAATCACTGGAAAACATAACAACACTGATCTCTTGCCCTCTCCCTGAATCTGCACTCCGGGGGTAGGTCCAGGAATCCACATCTTCACTGCTCAGTGAGGATGGGTAGGAGAGCAGGGCTAGCAGCTGGCTGTCTCCTGGCATTTCTGTGGCTCTGTCATGCTCTCCCTCCCCCAGGTCAGTGTCTTCATATGTTCTCTACAGGGCCATGCTGTGCAAGTGTCCACCCCTTCCGTGCGGGGAGTCAATTTTGGACCACATCATAGGTTGCCATCCAGTTTCAGTGGCCCCATAGTGCTTCCAGGAGCCAAGGCTGTGGGCAGCAATTCCAGTCAACAGGGGAGGTTGCTCCCAGTTACTGGGGACAACCAGGCCAGCATGAGGACAAAAGCCAGGCCTGTGACCAGTCAAGGACCTGAGAATTCTGAGCCACCAGGAAACTATAGGGGCCCTTCCAAGGAGGAGGAGGGGAAATTTATATTTTAGCAGCCTATCAACCCTGCCCAGGAGGACAATAAACATGGTTAGAGGGAAAGCCCTTCAATTCCTCTGAGCCTTGGTGGACCGGAGGAGCAGTGTAGGGAGCAGTTTGGAGGCAGGAACTGGACATATCTCCATTGCCCACCTGCAAAATAAGTTGGAATCCAGGGTGCAGGGGGTGTCTGAGTAGGAAGAGAAGGAAGAAGAAGCAGAGAGGACCCTGCATTCTAGCAACGTGTAAATGTCTCCGGCCTTTACAGATTTATGTCTGCTACACAAAAATATCATATCAAAGTGATTACCTTTATTTTTTAAATGGCATATTAAAAAGTATAATAAGGAGTCGTAATCAAAACGTACAACTTATGTGCTTCAAAAGACATCATCAAGAAAGTGAAAAGGCAGCCCACAGAATGGGAGAAAATATTTGCAATTCACATAGCTGATAAGAGACTTGTATTCGGAATACAAAAAGAATTCTTACAACTGAATAATAGGAGGACAAGTCATCCAATTGAAAATGGGCAAAGGGTCAGGCGCAGTGGCTCAGACTACAGTCCCAGTACTTTGGGAGGCTGAGGCGAAAGGATTGCCTGAGCCGCGGGGTTCAAGACCTGCCAGCTTGGTGAGACCTCGTCTCTGCAATAAATCAAAAAGTAAGTTGGGCATGGTAGTGCGTACCTATAGTTCCAGCTACTTGGAAGGCTGAGGTGGAAGGATCGCCTAAGCCCTATAGGTTGAGGCTGCGGTGGTGGTGAGTATGCCACTGCACTCCAGCCTGGGCAACACAGAGAGATTCCAACTCAAAAAAAAAAAAAAATAGGCAAAAGATCTGAACACACATTCCCACAAGAAATGCAAGGGGTCATTAGCACAAGAAAAAATCCCGGGACCTTGTTAGTCACAGGGAAATGTAAATAAAAAATATAACGTGATGCCATTTCAGTCCACTGGGATGGCTGCAACTGAAATAGCAAATAACAAGTGTTGATAAGGATGTTGAGAAACTGGAACCATCACACACTGCTGCCGGGAATGGAAAATGGTGCAGACACACCTTGGAAAATAACCTGGCTGCTCCTCAAAAGGTTAAAAACACATTGACTATGTGACCAGCCAACTCCACTCCTACATATGAATCCATGAGAAATGAAAACATCTGTACACAGAGAAGCTCATACACGAATGTTCATAGCAGCATATTCATAGTAGCCAGAAGGTAGAAACAGCCCAACCCAAATGATCTTCAGTGGATGAACGGAGAGACAAAATGTATTCTGTACAGCAGACTGTTACTCAGTCTTCAGAAGCAACAAAGGACTGACACATGTTACAACACAGATGACCCTCAAAATCATCATGCACAGTGAAGCCAGCCAGACACGAAAGGCCTTATAAGGTATGACTCTATTTTTATGAAATGCCTGGATGAGCAAATCCCCAGTGACAGGAGGTAAATGAATGGCTACCCAGGGCTGTTTGGGAACAGGGAGGTGGGGATTGGTGGTGACGTCTCAGAGAGATGAAAGTTCTTGAGATGATTAAAATGTTCTAAAATGGGTGATGGTTTCCCAGTTCTGTAAACGGAATTGTGCATTGCAGTGAGTGAACTGCATGGTCTGTGAATTATAGCACAATAAAGTTACAAGAGCACAATAAAGTTACCCCATGCCTATAATCCTAGCACTTTGGGAGGCCAAGGTAGGAGGATTGTTTGAGGCCAGGAGTTCAAGACTATCCTGGGCAACACAGAGAAACCCTGTGTGTATAAAAATAATATTAATGACTAAAACAAACAACTGCTATAAAAATTGTGGTACTGTCTAGAATGAAACACAAAATGCCTTCAGATAGTAGACTTTGAGAGACAGACACAGAGGAGTCAGGTTGGGTGGAACAGGAAGACAGCCCTATGGAGATTAAACCTTCTAACTTAATCAAAATAAATTAAAAAATAGAGATGTTGGTCTCACTATGTTGCCCAGGTTGGTCTCCATCTGCTGGTCTCAAGCAATCATCTTGCCTAGGCCTCCCAAAGTGCTGGAATTACAGCTGTGAGACACCGCCCTGACGGAGGTGAAGCCTTTCAGCTGGTACAGGCACAGCCTCCTTCACTCTCCCACTCTAGAATTCTGAGACGGCTCAGGGAGAGATCTGGACTTCCTGGGTGTGGAAGGGGTTTCAGAAATGGAATGCACTCCTAAGTGGCAGGAAGGGGACAGCTGGGGTCTAGTTAAGCCATGTGAAACTCATCAGGGACATGTGATCTAAGTCCTATCTCTCTGGGTCCTTCGAGGGTGTAATGGGCTGCATGGTGCCCTTCCCAAGGTCTTCCAGGTGACTTGAATCCAACATGACTGGTGCCCTTACAAAAAGGGGAAAATTGAGAGAGTGGGATGTCCGACTTCCCAGCGGGAAAGTCTGTAGTGCTGACGATGAAAGAGAGAGTTAAATATGGGTGATGTTGAGAAAGGCAAGAGGATTTTTGTTCAGAAGTGTGCCCAGTGTCACACTGTGGAAAAGGAAGGCAAGCACAAGACTGGGCCAAATCTCCATGGTCTTTTTGGGCAGAAGACAGGTCAGGCTGCTGGATTCTCTTACACAGACACCAATAAGAACAAAGGCATCACCTGGGGAGAAGATACCCTGACGGAGTATTTGGAGAATCCCAAGAATCCCTGGAACAAAAGAATCCCTGGAACAAAAATGATCTTTGAGCCGGGCTCGGTGGCTCAGCCTGTCATCCCGCGCCTTTGGGAGGCTGAGGTGAGTGG